TATTTCATTCCTTAAAGAATTTGAATGCTTGATTCTTGTGCTTCATAATGAATATCCAAGTCATCCTTAAGTAGTCATCATTCCCCTTTCACTCATGTGACCAAGTCTGAGTGTAATCCAAAGAAGATTTGGTTGAGTGTTGAGCTTCTGGAAACTTGTTTTTGTGTTGTTTACAAAAATACAATGCTCATAGAATTTGAGTTTTTTGACAGTATGATTTCCAAGCAACTGTTGCTTGCTTAGAATCATCATTCCCCTTTCACTCATGTGACCAAGTCTCATGTGCCACAGGTAGGTGAGATCAGGTATGTTCTTTTCAGCAGCAGAAATAGATTATGATATAAAACTAGTTGATCCTTGAAGCATATAGAGATTTCCCTTCTTAAAACCTCTCATCACAACTATAAACCCCATCTTTATCTCCATTACTTCATTTTAACATTGCACTTAAAGCCTTTAGAATCTAGAACTCCAATAGAGATAAGATTCTTTTTCAGATCTGGCACATGTCTCACTACTAGAAAAATTAAAATTAGAGAGGGAACAAATCCGTCACTAATCCTTATAAAATCCGTCAAAAATAAATTAGTGACGAAATTTGTGACGGAAATGATTCCGTCACAAAAATTGGCGTCACAAAATATTTAGTGACGGATAATTTCGTCCGTCACAATTAGTGACGGAATTCAGGCATCACAAACAATATATTTTCCGTCACTAATTTGTAACAATAAATGTTTATAAATTAATAAAAATCCGTCGCAATTTGTGAGGTATGTGTGTCCGTCACAAACTGTGATGACTAGTATCCGTCACAAACTGTGATGACTAGTATCCGTCACAATTTGAGACGCCAAAAATCCATCACAAACTGTGATGACTAGTGTGATGACCAGAATTGACTAGAATCCGTCACAATTTGAGACGCCAAAAATCCGTCACAAACTATGATGACTAGTATCCGTCACAATTTGCGATGGGTAAAATCCGTCACTAACTGTGATGACCCAAATCCGTCACAAACTGGGATGAATAAATCCGTCACAAACTGGGCATCTTTGATGACTAGAATCTCTCACAATTTGTGATGAATAATTGCGAAATCTGTCACAAACTATTGTGCTGAATGAAATCCATCGAAGATAAATAAAATCTGTCACAAATTGCAAATTATTTTTTCGTAAATTTGTAAAGAATATATTTTTCTCCTGTAATTGTGATATAATAATTTAATTATGAATATAACAAATAATTTATTAATTAATCAAAAAAGTTGAATTTATTGTCTATTTATTTAAAAAATTAACAAAATAAATAATTAAGAAAAATTTCTCAATTCTATAAAAGCATGTAACTAAACACGAATATAAGAAAGTCAAGCATACCATAGATACAAATAACACCAAATATAACAAAGTTTATGACTTTAGTTGATCCCTAATGTATGATAAGTACTATAGTAAAACTTAAACATAACAAATTATAAGTTTAAAGCATAGTAAACATAATAGTAAAAGATAATGCATCCCTAAACATGTATATCATGATCATCATCTAACTCATTATCATCAGATTGTACAGTGTTAGCATCATGTGTAGGAGGAGGTTGGGGAGGACGAGAAGATTGAGAAAACATCTCCATAAATTGCTTCAGTTGCTCACGAACCAACCGAGACTCTTCCTGTGAAGCACGAATCAAATATGCATGGCTTTGCAATTGTTCTTTCAATGATTTGTTTTCTTCAGACAAATTTGAAACAAGATTTTTCATTTGTTCATACTCAGGAGTTGAGATACCATCTAAGAATGTAGAAGAAGAAGGTTTATACTTCCCAGCCTCTGAACCTAAACCAAATATTCTTCCTTTATCGTTCACACCACCAACAACATCATAGAAAATACTATTTTCAGATTGCACTCTAGAGGCAGCATGATCTCCCGATAATTGTTGTGACTCTCTTTCAGATAACCGTCTTTGATACTCATTCTATATAAAAAGAAAAGTAAGAAACAAAAGTATATAAACATTAATGACAATAGAAGATCTCATGAATGTCATGAATGATGCAAAGAATCATGCAAGAAGAACACACAAAAATACTTAGTAAAAAGTCTAAGATGTAACTTATGAGCAACACATCACTAGATAAGTATGAATTCCAATGAAATTAGTAACTTGTAAACCTAGATGCAACACCACATACACATGAATCTCATTGAATTTAGCAATTAATAAACTAAGATGTAGAGATGGTAGCACTTCACATTACATGAAACTAAAATTGAGCACAACCAATAAGGTGAAATGATTCTATGTTCACATAATTCAGTAAAAAATTCAAATCATATAAAAAAATTACATACTATAAATGGTATAGCTTGCAATTTTGAGACCATTAACTGTAACCTATCTTAATATGTCAAGTCGACAGTGAAGGACAGAACATGACAACTTTGACAGTACCATAACCATTGTTGAAACATAACCATTGTTCTGTCTCTAATATAACCATTATATGTCAAGTCTTGCAAACATAATCATTATTATCTCTCTAACAGAATCAATCAAGTTCTTCATAATTCAATATATATAAAATTATAACTTACCGCTATCCTTTCTGCCTTGGAAGACACCCATGTATTCCCGTTTGCTGTCTTATGGGTCTTTTGGAATAGGTCCCAACATGTTGGAGTCATATCTGTAGATATTTTCTGAAGGAACAAAGAGTAATATAGTTTAATTTTAAATTTTGCTCCTGAAAAGAATAAGTAAATATTACTTACCAATCTCTTAAAATGCTCAGAAGTAGGAATGGATCCTCCAGTATGCAATGAACCATCAGAAGAATTTCTATTATTAGCATTAGTCATTGACTTATGTTTCCAATTCTCATCATTCCATTTTTGTTGAAGTTCTACAAGTTTTTGCTTTGGAATCCAACTCCCTTGATCAATGCCTCGTCGCACCCTATACATAGCATTTGAAAGCCCTTCAGATGCTTTATGGTCAAATGCTTTTCTTATTTGTGCATCATGATCAGGCAGCCACTTGAACTTTCTCTACATCAAAAATTTATAAAATATTATTTAAACAATGTGCAATTTAATGCAATGAAAAATATAAAATGGTTATTATAATATTTGTAGTTCTTTATACCTGAAACTCTTCAAACCACATGTTTGCCACACCTTCATTAGTGCTTTTAACCTCTCCATATGATTCCCATGACCCTTCAAACTTCCCTTTGATTATTCTTGAAATTTCACGGGTAGGGTGAATTGGTGGGTCGAATCTATAAAAATAAAATAGAAGAACTAAAATAACTTATAACACGAAACATGTTTATATTGATCTAAAAGAAAATAATTATTCATACTTACGTGTTTTGTGGACCTGGGCGAATCCAAATACGTCCATCAGAGTCAAAGCTTCCAATTTCTAAAGATGGATCAATAGAGGATGATGATCCAACAATTGGACTACCAGTAGCATCAATGGAGGGATTTGTTTGTGGTCTTTCAATCATATTTGGGAATTGTGTTAAAGGAACATGAGGGGTAGGTATAGACTGGTTAGTTTGAGGAACTAAATGTGGTTGGGAAGTGGAAGTAACATGAGGGGTAGGTGTAGCTTGGTTACTTTGGGGAGTTGTAGGTGTTTGGGAGGTGGAACCATGTGTAGGTTGTGTAGTACAATGAGAGGGTTCTCCAATAGAATGTATTGGCTGAGAAGTAGAAGGTGGTGGCACAATGGTGGTACCTCTACCTCTCCCTCTTCCCCTACCTCTACTAATACCTCTACCAGTGCCTCTCCCTCTTCCTCTATCAGTCATGTTATTGCTCATAATCTATACACACAATGTAGAACATTAACAAATAAAGTTTATTAAGACATCAATAATAAGTTCAAGATTAACAAATAATATCTACTATATAGTAATATATGCATATCCACAACAACCACAAGATTATGACATCAAAGTCTATTAATGCACACATATCAACAACAATTACAACATTACTTGATGTGAATATGAAACATGAAATTAAGTTAATTCTTCTTCTTCTATTACATAAAAGAGTCAATATGAAACATGAGATTAAGTTAATTTGAATCTATATCTTCATAAGTTTCATCATAATCGTCTTCATTACTTGATGTCAATTGTATGTCTTCTTCTTCTTCTTCTTCTTCTTCTTCTTCTTCTTCTT